ATTATTAGTTACACGCATACAGTTACTATGCATTCCTCCCAAGTTTTTGTACTCTGGTGAGATTTTATACAATATAAATTAAGAAATAATAACAAAGTAATATTCGTCTAAACATGTGCATAACTCTCATAAATCCTTTCAAACTTTATATGGTTGCCCTCCTAGGTTTGGTTTGTTAAGTTGTCAAATACCTAAACGCCCTAATAAAACATCAAATGTTTGTGAAGCAAAAATAACTTCATTGATTGATGTGTGTGCACCTTGTTTACAAATTCATCCTCCCTAACTGGCGCTTTACAAACTTTTGAGTAACACCTCAGAGAAATTTCTCTACCAAGAATACAGAAGTGAATATTGGCAAGTATCAGCTGTCCCAAATGATTTTAATAAGCAATCTTTTTTTCAATATTGGTAATGTTGTTATTCGTGGTATATTTGAGGCAATTGTTATCTACTTGAGCATAATTTTTTTGCTTCAAACATTTTCAATTGGGGTGGGGCGACTGGGAAGCACAATTTCTTTTTAGGTTGAGTGTGCACACTCCCCTAGATATGCTAGTAAAATGACAAAGACAGTATTTATTAGGCATTGGTTATCAGTTGGTGGAGCTGGCTTAACCTTAAACTGTAGGCCAAATTATAGTTTTATAACCATGGACCATAGGTACTGTATATAGCATAATGATGTTCTGGTCAGCATTCTTTCATTTTTGTTTTTCAGTGACTGGTAGAATTAAAAATTGGGTTTTGGATCTTAAAATTCTTTTACAAAATGTTTTCTCAGTAAGAATTCCTTGTAATGTATGAATATAAATTTTAATTTACTGGATATATCCAAGTGGGTCTGAGAAAAAAGCTTCCAAAGATTTGTTGATAAGGTGTGTATTTAAAAAAAATGTTTTTAATAGAGTAAGTAATTAATATTTTGAAGATTTGTTCATCATTTTATCTGCTAGCACAAAAATTAAAAATCTGTTTAAATAAAGGACAAAGAGCTGTCTCTTATTCACAGAGTGGGGGGGGGGGGAGGCAGAACCGGTTGGGCTGCAGTTTCATTCTCAATTGTCTTGAAAAGTCTTCTAAATGCAATCTCCCAGTCTCCCGAATGCCATTTCTGGACACCTCCCAAATTTTGTTAAATTCTACCGCAAACAGCTTAGAATTGACCGGCTTTTTGATACAAATAATTGAGTATTAAAAAAAATTGGCTCATGTATCTATGAAAAACTTCAGCTGATGGGGTCTGGGAGAACATGGTGGGATTTGGGGGTGAAGCTAATGGTGGCACCAGAAAGGGAGGGGGTTGTCCCTGTTGGACAGGGTACGACGTGGTGATCGGATCAAAATAATAATATACTTTGCTACCCTGCTATCCTCATCCCCAGGCTCACATGGAATGAGCTGTTGCCGTGCTGATTTTAGTGCCAAACTTTTATAGCTAAATTTAATTTTTTATTAAATATATAAGAAAAATAATAAGCTATTAACCTTCTTGTCTGATACTTTCTCAAAAACATATATAATAAAACATCTACTGTATACAAATTTCAGACACTGTATTTTGAGTTATAGTATGTCAAAAGTTATCACCCACAAAAATGACAAAATGAATTTTACACTTTTTTTTTTTATTTTAGAAAATAATTACTGTAGTCCTTGTTGGCCAACATAATAATAAATCTTTCTCAAAATAATAATTTATTACTTAGCTTCTCGTAATGACCAGAACAATAGCAAAATTTATTAAACAAAAAATATATATATTTATTTATTGTTTAAATCCCAAAAACTATTAGATAATATGGTAGATATGATGATATTCACTTGTTCGTATGTAGCCTGCAACTGAACCTTGGTAGATTGCCTATTAGAGCATGTGTAAGATTTATAAAATTACATGACACAATGCGTATATATTTAATGTTAAAAACCACACTGTTGTTTAAGCAAACTAATGTATTTCCAATCGATGTCTGCAAGAAAGCATGAGCTTAGTTTAACAAATTATGATTACGAAGCCTAGCACTCGTCACGGTGCACAAGTTGTCCTAGATTCTTGACCTTATCATCAGCTGGACAGGTGCAGCATAATTAGCCAATCAAAAGCATTTTATTAAAACATGTCACACACCACAATATCATGGTGTCTGCACTAGACATCCTCACTATTTTCCCAGTCCCTAGGCCAAGAAAAATATACTATGAAACACCATGCAAATAAGTAATATGGAAAGCCATTGGTGCCAAAATTGATTTATTTTAAGCATTTTCATTGATTAAGACAAAGTTTAGGGACTGGAACCAGTCTAGGGTCAGGTGTGCATGGCTGATATGAAAGGCTTGAAAGTGTCAGTTCCAGATCTATACACAAAATTCATGAAAGAAAACTTTCTGTACGATATAGTAATAAAGAAGATGTGAATAAGCTTGTTGAACACTTTCAATGGTTTATATCTTCCGAATCAACCATGACTATGTTGACAGGCCTGCCTCTAATAATAATTGTTACTGTAGGGTAGGCCAAATTCTCAACTGACTATGGCTATGCCAAACCTACTTGGCCTAGGCTAGGCCCTATGCCAAACTGACTTGGCCTAGGCCTACTAGGCCCTAGATCTACTCTAGGCAATGCCAAATCAAACATTTAACAATATTATACTATACTGCATTGTGAATGCGTCATCGGCGTTCCATACACATACACACATTTGTAGCTAGCGGCCGCTTCGGGCATAATTCGCCTAGGGCTTAGGCCTAGCTAGCCCCAGCCTGCCCTAGCTCGGCCCTGTGGGCCAATGCTAGGCCTAGCTTAGTAAGCCATCGTCGGCAGAGGTGTACACAAAATACATATCATACTAGGCCCCTATATCTAAACAACTTACTGTTTGCTGTCAAACAACAGCGTTAGTGAAAATAAACACCGCAATCAGTTCGTCGTTTCCAAAATCACTGAGTCCTCCCTCCCCTCTACCCCTTCCTTCGTCCATGAAAAAAATTGAATGCTGGCGCGAACAACCACCAGCGTCGCCATCGGTCAACCGAACGATAGAGATCCTGCTGCAGACCGGCAGCGAGACGTAAGTCAGCCACGCTTTGCAAAGCAGCCAGGCTTTGCAAAACAGTGACGTAAGCTTGGCTCTTCCATTTTTAGAATAGGGAAACTTTTTTTGAAGGTAGTATCGCGTCATTTTACGTCAAACCATAACAATCTGCGTCAATGTAGGTAAATTTGCGTCAACATACGTAAATTCCCGTGAAATTAACGTCAACACTAAACAAAAATCTGAGTGTTTGAGGTGTATACGATACGGACGTACATTTAAACTAGGTAAGACTTAACAAATGCTTTAATTGGAAATGGAAACATAACACTTAACAA